TTCATTAAACACTGTACAACTCAGACTACAGAGGAATATCAAGAAAATGGGCAAAGTATCAGTCATACCTCCTCTTTTACTTTACATCCCCAATCGTATATCAAAGAGACAGCACATGCATTTATAAAAATCAGTTTGAGCAGTCATCTTATTTCCCATAAAGAGGAAATACTGTATGAGTGTGGAAAGGGTTTCAGCAAGAAGCAGTTGATTTTTTTACCCCAAAAAATTCACCCAAGGGAGAAACCATATAAATGTGTGCGGTGTGAAAAGACTTTCACTCAGAGAAGTAACCTTATTATACATGAAAGGATCCACACAGGAGAGAAACCATATGTATGCCTGGTGTGTGGAAGAAGGTTCAGTCAGAGTGGTCATCTTACAAGACATAAAAGAACCCACACTGGGGAGAAGCCCTATCAGTGCACAGAATGTGGAAAAAAATTTAGTTTTTGCGGTAGTTTTATAGTGCATAAGAGGTTGCACACAGGAGAGAAACCGTATAAGTGCTTGGAATGTGGAAAAACCTTCAGTCAGAACAGTCACCTTTTGAAACATGAGAGAATTCACACAGGGGAGAAACTGTATAAATGCCTAGAGTGTGGAAAGAGTTTCAGTGCAAGCTGGCAATTTAGATATCACAAAAGAATTCACACAGGGGAGAAACCATATGAATGCTTGGAGTGTGGGAAGAGCTTCACTTACAGCAGTCAGCTTACTTGCCATAAAAGAACTCATACAGGGGAGAAACCGTATAAATGTTTGGAGTGTGGAAAGGATTTTAATAAAAGCAGCAGTCTTACAAATCATAAAAAAATTCACACAGGAGAGAAACCCTATAAATGCACAGAATGTGGAAAGTGCTTCAATCAGAACAGTTACCTCAGGAAACATAAGAGAATTCACACTGGGGAGAAACCATATAAATGCCTAGAGTGTGGAAAAAGCTTTACTCAGAGAGGTCACCTTATGATGCATGAAAGAATCCATACAGGGGAGAAACCCTATACATGCACTGAATGTGGAAAGAGCTTCAATCAAGACAGTTACCTTAGGAAACACAAGAGAATTCACATAGGGGAAAAACCATATAAATGCACTGAGTGTGGAAGGAGCTTTTGCTACAGCAGTCGCCTTACATGCCACGAAAGGATTCACACAGGGGAGAAACCATATACATGTTTTAAATGTGGAAGGAAGTTCAGGGGAAGTGGTAGCTTTATTATGCATGTAAGAATTCACACAGGGGAGAAACCATATAAATGTTTGGAATGTGGAAAGAGTTTCAGTCAGAACAGTGTCCTTATTTGCCACAAAAGGATTCACACAGGAGAGAAACCATACAAATGCATGGAGTGTGGAAAGCACTTCAGTCAGAACAGTAACCTTATCAAACATACAATAATTCACAGAGGGGAGAAACCTTGTAAGTGCACAGAGTGTGGAAAGAGGTTCAATCAGAAAAGTCTACTTGTGCAACATAAAAGAATACACACAGGAGAGAAACCTTATAAGTGCATGGAATGTGGAAAGAGATTTAGTGTGAGGGGTAGCTTTATGAGACATAAAAGGGTACACACAGGAGAGAAACCCTATAAGTGCACAGAATGTGAAAAGAGATTTAGTGCAAGAGATAGCTTTATGACACATAAAAGGTTGCATGCAGGAGAGAAGCCATATAAATGCTTGGAGTGTGGAAAGAACTTCACTTGCAGCAGGTATCTTACATACCATAAACGGATTCATACAGGGGAGAAACCGTATAAATGCATGGAATGTGGAAAGAGTTTCAATGCAAACTCACATCTTACAGATCATATAAGAGTGCACACAGGAGAGAGAACATATAAATGCTCAGAGTGTGGAAAGAGCTTCAGTCGGAACAGTGTCCTGATTTGCCATAAAAGGATACACACAGGAGAGAAACCATATGAATGCACAGAGTGTGGAAAGAGCTTCAGTCAGAACAGTGTCCTTTTTTGCCATAAAAGGATACACACAGGAGAGAAACCATATGAATGCACAGAGTGTGGAAAGAGCTTCAGTCAGAACAGTGTCCTTTTTTGCCATAAAAGGATACACACAGGAGAGAAACCATATGAATGCACAGAGTGTGGAAAGAGCTTCAGTCAGAACAGTGTCCTTTTTTGCCATAAAAGGATACACACAGGAGAGAAACCATATGAATGCACAGAGTGTGGAAAGAGCTTCAGTCAGAACAGTGTCCTTTTTTGCCATAAAAGGATACACACAGGAGAGAAACCATATGAATGCACAGAGTGTGGAAAGAGCTTCAGTCAGAACAGTGTCCTTTTTTGCCATAAAAGGATACACACAGGAGAGAAACCATATGAATGCACAGAGTGTGGAAAGAGCTTCAGTCAGAACAGTCACCTTATCAAACATAAAAGAATTCACAGAGGGGAGAAGCCCTGTAAGTGCACAGAATGTGGAAAGAGCTTCAGTGAGAAGAGCCACCTTATGAGACATAAACGAATTCACACAGGAGAGAAATCATAATACCTGGAAAAATAATAAAAATATGAGAACTGTAGATTTAGGGTCAGTTGGAAGAGTGTCTTTATAAGACAAAATGGAATTATAAATGCTTGGAGTGGGAGAAAGTTTGAATATCATCAGTGGACTTCTTTTTCAAGAAAACAGGAAAAAAACCCACATGAATATGTGAGTTTGCATTAGCTACATGGATCCTAAATAAGTGTAGTATGCAAATATACTATTGAACATCAACCAATGGATCAAACAATAATAGGACTGCAATCTTACCAAACTCTTTAAATGAGTGGAATGTAGAAAAGGTAGTGATGGCTGAAACTTCTTCAAAATGACCCTGACAAAGCATAGGCTCCTTTTGTTGCGTGAAAAGGAATCATAATCAGTGCAAAATAATATTTCTGATTTGTTCATCTAACAAGTAAAGCTGTATTTTGAGTAGACTTTTAATGAGAT